GGTTAAGTTCTTGGCTGTTAACTGAAAGACTTGGCAGTCTACTTCTGGAACATGACAACCATTGAAAACCTTGGAACACAGTTCTGCCTGCACACATGGGGTCCCCATGAATAGGAATCAATTCCATAACAACTGGGTTTTTTAAAAACCCTTCTGTAACTCATGGGACATATACTGCCCACCAACAGTTTCAGCCTCTCAGGTTTCTTGGGAAGCTGCTCTCCCAGTTGTAATACATGCTACCACCGGTGGGGACCTGTATAACTACATGACTGAAAAAATGAGCCTCACTCTACCAATGATACCACCAGAGTCCACTTAGGACACAGATGACCCACATAATTGTATCAAAATTCCTATTACTCTAAAAAAATGTTTGTTTTCTTTGATTTCACCATGCTTTCTATTACTGAAAACACATGGCATCAGCAGAGAATTCAAAGCAGAAAATTCGGTCATGAAAAGGTTAAGGAGATATAACAACTAAAAGCACAGTGAGATCCTAGATTGGATTCTGGGGGAGAAAAGAAACTAGAGAAATCTGAATGAAGTCTGTGGTTTAGTTAATAGTATAATGTTGTTGTTGTTGTGTGTTGATTCGATTCTGACTCATAGCAACCCTATAGGACAGGGAGAACTGCCCCATGGGGTTTCCTAAGCTATAAATCTTTACAGGAGTACATCTCCAGGTTTTTGACTCTGGTAGAGTGACTGGTGGGTTTGAACTACCAACCTTTTGGTTAGCAAATGAGTACTTAACCATTGTGCCACCAAGGGCTCCTTAATAGTATTATAACAAGGTTAATTTCTTAGTTTTGATCATTGTATTACGGTTTGTAAGATGTTAACATCAGGGGAACTCAGTGAAGAGTATATGGGAACTCTCTGAGCCCTTTTCGCAACTTCTCTGAAAGTCTAAGTTTAAAAAATGCTACAGGGTCACCCTCTTCTCCCTGCAAAAGAATCAGGAAATGAAATGGGTGGCCCTGGTTGATGTTCGTGTGTACCAGGAGGCTGATGCATCCACACACCAGGAGCCTGAGGAGAGGGCAGGACGCCGGCTCCGCTCCCTGCCCCCACCAGCAGGAAGCAGTCTGAGGTTCCCTTCTACTGAAAAATCATTGACTGTCAGTCTGACAGAAATGGTTTCCACATGAGTTGGAACCTCAGGGCCCATCTGCAGACTTGGAATCCTGGAACCATCCTGACAGTCCAGCCCTTCCCCTACCAATGGGTGAACTGAGATGCCCTAAGTCACCCAGAGTCATCTAAAGTCAGAGAAAGCCCAGCCAGGCATCCGGGCCACCTGCCTCTCAAGCTCGACATGAATTAGTGCTCAGCTCTGGAGTCAGATCTGGGTTTGAATCCTCATTCTACCATTTAGCTGTGGGATCTTGGGCAGGTTACTTAACCTCTCTGGGGCTCAGTTTCCTCATCTATTTTATGGGACAATAATGGTATCTACCTCATATGTGTAAGGATCCAGGCCAATCAGTACTGTCAGCTACTATTAGTATCACAACTCAGTGCTCACCCCAAGGGGCTTCTAATGGGACTGGGCAACTTTTCCCAGGAACTACATGTTAGTCCAGGCTTCTCTTCTTGCATAAGTTACCTTGCCTGTCTAGGCCTCAGTTTCCCTGTCCCAGCCCACCTCTTTGGCGTGTTGGTGGGTAGACCCCCACGGCCACACTCACCTCTCACGGTTGGTGAAGACAAAGCGACACAGTTTGAGATCCCGCAGGACTAGACCGTGCTGGTGACAGTGTGCCAGGGTGGCGGCCATCTGGCGGAAGAGCGCAGCGGCCTCAGGCTCAGGGAGGCGGCGGCGGCGGCGCACCAGGGTGTGCATGTCCCCATAGGGACGTGCAAAAAAGGCGTAGAGGAACTGGGTGCCCACCAGGACCTCAGCAGGCCGTGCCACGTGCTCGTGGGGAGGCAGCCGTGCGTAGGGTTGCTGCACAGCCAGGGCCTCACTTGCTGGGTACACCTGTGGGCAAAGCACACGGGGAGCAGAGGTGAGGACACGAGACATGAGGGCTGGGCTTGCAAATAGTCAGCGCCAACCCTTTAGACACCTACATGGGCCAAGCACTGTGTGCTTCATAGACCAAGTCACTCCACCAACCCACCAGCCCTGAGAGAGGTACTATGATCTGATCCCACAGTTCCAGAAGCTGAAAGGCCACAAGTCAACAAGACACAGTCAGGATTTGAACTCATTGTGCTCTTAACTACTACGTTATATACTGTATATCGTTAAACTTCAGAAACTCAAAAATAAGTGACCCAAACAGAACAGTAACCCTCCAAGCTGGGGAAATCCAGAAGAGCAGAAATCCACAAGTCACGTCACGCTCATCGTCAACAGAGCTAGCCCCACTAGGATCCACTGCCCACCCTTTCATTCACCCTGCACCACACAGGGTCCACCCAGCTGTGCCAGGCACTGGGGATCAAATCTGACTGATAGTCATGGCTCTTGCCCTCCTAGTGCCTGCAGTCCGATACAGGAGACAGTAAACAAGCCAACAGACTGTTCATGAATTCTAATGAATGTTGCAATGGAACCAAGATAGACGCTGGAACAGAGGGTATTTTGAAAGGGAACACTGGTTTTTAGAAAGTATGGTCCAGAAGGGACACTGGGGAAGTGACTTGAAGGATTTGGAGATGCCCGTGGGATGAATGTTCCAGGTAGAGGGCACAGGCAGTGCAAAGGCCTTGAGGTGAGAAAGAACTTGACCTGTTCTGGACACCCGGCTGAAGATCAGTGTAGCTGGGAAGGAGTGGGGAGAGAAAGACGGGTGCGGTGGCAAGACTGGCAGGAAATGTACTAGGGGCTTTGTGGACATTGGAGCAAAATCTCAACATAGCTTTAAAAGGTGTGTTCCATTTTATAGATGAGAAAACTGAGATTTAGTGAAGGAAGCCATATAGCTAGCTAACCATAGAAGGCACAGCTGGGACACAGACTTGGTCTGACTTTAGACTCTTTGCATGTTCTTTTGGTTGTGTCACACAGAACAATAAATAAAGGATATATGTGTTTAATGCATCATTTTTTTTAAGTAGGTACTTAAAAACAAGCAAGCAATTGGGGTGCTACAGAGACTCTGCTTTTCAATTCAGGCAAGTGCATTCTCCTGTCTGCACTGGTACTTGCTGTTCCTGCTGCCTGGAAGCTCTTGCTCTGGACACTCACATAGGCAGCCGCCTGAGTTCATGCAGGTTTGCCACTCTTGTGGCACCTCCTCAGAGTGGTCTTCCTGGATTGCCCTAGGTGAAATGATATCCTGCACTCCCCACCCTTCCCACCCCCTCACCCTGCTCCCAGCCTTATTTTTCTCCATGGCACTTAGGATCACCTGACACAGATTTTACTTATCCACTTGTTTGTTGTCTGTCTCCCCGCAGGTTCAATGGGAATGGGAGCAGAGCTTTGTCTCTCTTAAAGCCACAGCTTGGTGACACTGTGACACGGGGTTGTTGAATTAATGACAAAGGTGATAATTGACAAAGATGGATGTTAATGCTGGCTAGAACACCCCAGGTGACCTGGGGATGGTAGGCCACCCCTTGGGGTTTATGCTGGCACAGGGGTGAGCACCCCCAAGAAGATCCCCCTCAAAAAACATTTCTGAGGAGTCAGGGTCTTGTGAAGGCATGACCCTTCTGCCTTCTGCATGCTTTGGTGGTTCCTCTGGGCATGGACTCCTCTCCCCAGTGGGAACTGAGAACCTGTGACACCGCGGGAAGGGGCCCCAGAGCCCAGAAAGCTGGTAGCTGGGCCATCTGTCCAGATTGTCCTCTGCCTACTGCACCCCCATCAGTAGGAGCTGCTCCCTTGTTGGAGGCTGGAGTTGCCCTGTCTCTCTGTTCATTCCCAAAGGGACTCCGGTGCCCTTCTGCCCTTCCCATTAGAAACCTGCGTGATCCTCAACTTCCTTACCCCTGTGTGCTGGGGGATGCCTGCCCCCTAGACTAGAACACTCATCCTAGCATGAGACACACAGCTCTGGGCTCAGCCTGCCTGGGCCTAATTCCAGCTCCAGTGCCTCCTAGCTCTTCAATATGACAAGTAACTACAACTTTCTGAGCCTCAGTGTCTTCTACCTGTAAAATGGGCACAATGATCGTAACAACTTCATAGGGTGTGTGAAGACTGAAGGGGACAGTGCACACTAAGCACTCAACACAGTTCGCGGTATGTGGTACGCAGTAAATGCTTAGTGCTATACTCTCTTCTCACCTCTGTCCTTTTAGGCTGTGACCTGACAACATTCTGCTTGGGCTTGATCCTCACGGGGCCTTGACCCTGCCCATTTCCTAACTCCTGCCAGGAATTCTCACACGGCTATACCCTTAGCCTTGCCCCAAGCAGCCCTGATGACACAACAGTTAAGCATTCAGCTGCTAACCAAAATGTTAGAGGTTCAAACCCACCCAGTGGCTTTGCAGAAGAGAGATCTGGGGCTCTGCTTCTGCAAAGATTACAGCCCAGGAAACCCTGTGGGGCAGTTCTACTCTCACATGGGGTTGCTATGAGTTGGAATCAACTCAATGGCACCTAACAACAACAGACCTTGACCTAGGGACCAGGCCCAATGCCATGTGACCTCATGCATGGCCCCTTCTCCTCTCTTGACCTGTCTTCTCAACTATAAAATGGCATGGGTTAGACCCAGTGACCTCGGGGATCCCAGGAGTTCCGACATCCACCATACCTCACCCTTCCCGTGTAACCAGTGGCTCTCCACAGCCCAGCAGAAGCTCCTTCGTGCTTTCTCGACCAGCCACCACCGACGGCCACCTCCTGCCCCTCTCTGCACATCCTCTCCACTCCAGTCATCGTCCTGTGCATTCTCTGACGGGCCCTACGCTCACTCCACTCTAGGCCTTTGCACAGCTCTTCTCCCCTACTAGAAACTCCCTTCTCCCAATTCTACCTGATTCAGAATTCAGAGCCTAAGCTGTGAATTCTTCAAGGGCTGGGATTCCTTCAATGTCTGGTTGCCTTTATGACCTCAGCCCAGTCCAGGGCCTGACAGAGAATTGGGGGCTGCTTCTCTAATAAATGAAGGAATAAATGAATATCAGGACCTCCCAACCCCCTGGAAACCCTCTGGAGCCAAGGTCCCCTCCAGACTACTGTGATTTAGGGCAGAGTGGGCCCTGGGGACGTACCTTGCAGGTGTACTCAGTGCCTGTTGGGCAGTGCATGGCACGGTATGCCCTCCCACCCTCCTCAGGCTCCAGGAGGGCATAGGGCCCAAGCCGGGAGGCAGTGGCCTCAGCAGGTACAGGATCTGGGGCAGGGGGTGGGCTCAGGGGCAGCAGGCAGGGGGGCAGCCAGGGCTGGGGCTGGCTTCGAGTTCGTTTCTGGGTGGGGCACTTGGCGTCTAGGTCACTGTCCAACTCTAGCCGTTTCTTCTTGGACAGGGCACCTGCAGGAGCAGCCGGAAGGGTGGCTTGCATCTAGAGAGAAGGGAAAAAAGAGTCTAAGGTCAGGGGGTTTGGTGGCTCTTCTCTTCCTCTGCTGGGAGGGTGGTACACAGGCACAGCCTCAATGGAGGGAGCTTAGGCAATGTATCTCAAAATAACAAATGCAAACATCCATGACTGGGTGTCCCACTCCTGAGGATTTATCCTCCACTTAAACTGCCCCCCCCCAAAAAAAAAAAAACAAGTACAAGGAAGGTTGTTCATCAGAGCCATGTGTCTAATAGGAGACAACTGAAAATGTCCCAAATTTGGGGCAGACATGTCCCAAAAGTCCAGCAGTAGGGGGCTGATGAAAACATCATTCATCAGTGGAATACTATACAGCTCTGAAAAAGGACCAGGAAGCTCTCTACATTGGACCTATCTCCAAGGTATATTATGAGAAAAGAGTAAACCACAGAACTATCTATGTAATACTCTCATATGAAATAAAGTAACAAAAAAATTGCTTATATATGCATAAACTCTCTGAAAGGATACACAGTAAGGTTGGAAGAAGACTTTTATACTCTGAATTTTAAACTATGTAACTTTCACAGTTTAAATGTAAAATTAAAAAAATTTACATTTAAAGAAATTATTCAAAAACAAAGCTTGTACCTAAAAAATCATAGTAAAGAAAATCAACCCATCTGAGAATTCATGGGTCGAGGACATTCAAAGATGCTACAGAAATGCAATCTTCATTCATTCATTCAGTCCTCACTGGCAGCTGCCGTGGGCCTGGCCCTACGTGGGTGCTGGGAAAGAGGGATGTATCAGACAGCATTGTGCTCTTGGGATCTTCCAGTCCACTTGAAGGCAGACAAGGAATCAGAAAATCAAGTACAGTGTGATCACTGGTAGTATGGGGGGGGTGGGGATCACAGGGCTGCAGAAGCTGAGAGGCCTCTATTCCAGACTGGAAAACCAAACTCACTGCCATCAAGTCAATTCCAACTTATAGAAACCCCACTGCGTTTCCAAGGCTGTACATCTTTATGGAAACAGACTGACCAACATTCTTTTTTTCCATGGAGCAACTGGTGAGTTCAAACTACCAACCTTTTGATTAGCAGCCAAGTGCCTTAACCACTACACCACCTTATTCCAGGCTGGAAGGAGTATTCACAATGAGACTTGAAGTAGAATAAGAGGCAGCCAGGTGATGTGAAGAAGCATATTCTAGGCCAGTGGTTCTCAAACTTGAGTGTACGTTGGAATCACATGGATGACTTGTTAAAACACACATTTCTAGGCACCAGAGTAGGGGCTCTGGTGGCACAGTGGTTAAACCACTCAGCTGCTAACCAACAGTTTGGTGATTCAAACTCACCAGCCACTCTGCAGGAGAAAAGGCAGTCTACCTCCGTAAAGATTTACAGCCTTAGAAGTGCTATGGAGCAGTTAGCTCTACTCTGTCCTTACAGGGTCACTATGAATACAAATTGACTTGATGACAATGGCTCTTTTTAGTGGGATCCTCAGAGTAGGTGATTCAGGAAGTCTAGGATGTGACCCGAGAATCTGCATTTCTGATAAGCTCCCAGGTGAGGTTGCTGTGCTGGTCTGATAACCATTGTCCCAGGGAGAGAGAGGAGTCCTCAGATGGTGCAAACAGTTAACTCTCTCACTGCTAACCAAAAGATTGCAGGTTCGAGTCTCCCCAGAGGTGTCTTAGAAGAAAGGCCTGAAAAATCAGTCACTGGAACCCCACAGACACTTTGAACGTTAAGCTAAGTGAAAGGAGCCAGTCACAAAAGGCCACATGTTGTGTGATTTCATTTATATTTGATGTTAAAATAGGGAAATTTTATGCATCAGAATCTAAACAACGGGTTTGGTTTGGGGCTTTGTAGAGACAGAAAGCAAACCGGTGGTTTCTTAGGGCTGGGAGATGTACGTGGTAAGAGATGGCAGCTTCAGGAGATGAGGTTTCTTTTTGAGGTGGCAAAAATGTTTTAAAATTGACAGTGATGATGGTTGCACAACTCTACACAAAAAAACAATCAATTGTACACTTTTAACGGGTGAATTGCAGAGTATGTGAATTATCTCTCAATAAAGCTGTTACCAAAAAAGAAAAAAGCCACCTTATGGAGCACAGTTCTCTGACACACATGGGGTCGCTGTGCATTGACAACAGCTGTTTTGTTGTTGTTGTTGGGAGAGGGGAGGGGCAAAAGAACAAGGTGCAGTTGGGGATTAGGTGTGGCTGCAGTAAAGTGTGATGTTTCAAGAGATAAGGCTGGTGGGGTGAGTAGGGGTCCTATTCTGAAGGGCTCTACAAGTCTCACCTGGCAGAAATCGCTGGTGGTCCCTCAATCCCTGGTCTCCCCTTCTTACGTAAAATTGGGACCTGAGATGATTAGTTGAGCACAAGGCCAAGCAGAATAAAGACTACATTTCTGCCTCGCCATGCAGCAAGGTATTGTCCCGTGGCTAGTGAAAGTATTGAATGCATCTCCTTTCTTCCTTCCTATTGGCTGGAATGTGGACCTGACTGCTGGAACGCCAGCATCCATTTTGGACCAGGAATTACTACCCACAGCAGAGCAACAAGAGCAGAGCCTGAGTCCCTGACACGTGGAGCATAGACTAGTTGTGGGCTGTCTCCAGTTTACACGGAAGAGAAAGAAACAAAAAACTCACCGCCATTAAGTCAGATCTGACTCATAGCAACCCCTCCTTGGGTTTTCAAGGAGGAGCTCTAGTAGCATAGTGGCTAAAGCACTTGACTGCTAACCAGAAGGCTGGCGGTTCAAACCCACCAGCCACTCCTCGGAAGGAAGGTTGGGCAATCCTACTTCCGTAGTGATACTGCCTCAGAAACCCAAGGAGGGGTCGCTATGAGTCGGAGCCGACTCAACGGCACATAACAACAACAACAACAACATCACTACCGAAGTAGATTGCCCATCTTCCTTTTGAAGAGTGGCTGGGAGGTTTGAACTGCCAGCTTTCTGGTTAGCAGGCAAATGCCTTAGGCACTTCGCTACCAGAGCTCCTAGAAAGAAACTATTACCATTAAATTGGCTGTTTTTATATTATAGCTGAAGGAGCTCTGGTGGCGCAGTGGTTAAGCACTGGCCTGTTAACTGGAAAGGTCGATAGTTCTAACCCACCGGTCCCTCCGTGCGAGAGAGGTGCAGGAGTCTGCTTCCATAAAGATTCCACCCACCCATGCCATCCAGTCAATTCTGACTCATAGAGACCCTGTAGGAGAGACTAGAACTGCCCCAAAGGGTTTGCAAGGCTGTAAATCTTTACGGAAGCAGACTGCCACATCTTTCTCCCCCGGCAAGGGTGTTGGGTTCAAATCTCCAACTTTCCAGTTAGCAGCTGAGCACTTTAACCACTGTGCCACCAGGGCTCCTTCTGGAGAGATTCCAGCCTTGGAAACCCTATAGGGCAATCCTATTCTGTCCTATAGGTTGTTGCGAGTTGGAGTCACTGGAGGGCTATGCGTTTTTGTGGTATATATTACAGCTGAGCCCAAGCCTCATTAATAAACAATGGAAAGGAATTTGTACATTATCCCAATGGCAGTGAGGAACCACTGAAGGATTCTTCGTGGGGGAGTGACACACTGGATGGATTTGCAGGAGAAACAGAGGGTCAGGGAGACTAGCTGGAAGGAAGGTCAGCACAATTTTCCAGATAGCCTGGTCCAGGAGACCTGAAGATGGCCGGAAGGAGAAGGGAGATAGGCATTCCAGGGCTCAAAGGAGAAGGATCAAGAGGGCTCAGTGTGCACTGGACTCAGGGGGTGAGAAAGAGGGTGGAGTGAAGGTGAGGTCCAGTCTCAGGCTCCTGAAGGAAGTAAGGAGGCAGTATCGTAGCTTCATTTTCTGAGCGAGGGGGGAAACCCTTATTTTGGGAACTCTAGAGGAAGGTGAAGGCTCTCTGGCACTGTAGTGGTCCAGGCATTTGGCTGCTAAGCAAAAGGTTGGTGGTTCGAACCCACCAGCTGCTCTGCGGAAGAAAGATGAAGCGGTCTGCTTCTGTAAAGATTGACAGCCTTCTTAAAACCCAACAGGGGTCACTATGAGTTGGAATCGACTCACTGACAGTGAGTTTTACTTTGGAGGAAGGTTAGTTGAGTTGAATTTTAGACATTGTTACATCTTACCAGAAAGAGTGGCATACTGGAGATGTTGTAAGAGCGTATACAGCATGGAAGACTATACAGCAATGCAGCTCCAGCAAGGACACTCTGGTGGGGAAAAATGGTGCAACCTTAGTGTAACACATTTCAATAATATCAAAATTTAAAATGTACACACTCTTCGATTCAGTGATTAACCCCAGTGCCAGGAATGTATCCTTTAGGGGTGTGTGTGTGTGTGTGTGTAATGATGCACCCACTGCTGTCAAGTGAATTCCAACTCATGGCGACCCCATGTGTTACAGAGCCGGAGGACTCCATAGCATTTTCTTGGCTGCAATCTTTGCCTCTTCTTTCACAATGCCTTCAGATGCCACCCCTTACCTTAATGGCCAAGGGCAACTGTGCCACCCTAACCTCAAATTAATGCAGTACAAGGTTTGTCCTGACATAAGAAATAGACAAATAGGAAATTGAATGTCCATTTTTAGGGGACTGGTTAAGTAAATTACTTCATCCATACAATGGGATATTATGCAGCCACTTAAAAGATGGGGGGGGTTCTTTATATGCTAATTAGAAAGATCTTCATGGTGAAATGTTAAGAGCCAGAGGTGTCAAGCAGAGAGAGAGAGAGTTGGTGGCTGGGTGTTAAGCCTTTGCATTCTACCTGTTGAGTAGACATTTATTATCTACTGAAGGGGGAAAGAAGGCTAATGAATGAATGGACTAGGTATGCACTAGGTACCTTTTGGATGTAGATGTGAATGTATGTTACCCAGAGCCACTGAGTCAATTCCAACTCACAGCGACCCTATAGGACAGAGTACAACTGCCCCATAGGGCTTCCAAGGCTGTAAATCTTTACAGAAGCAGACTGCCACAT